GCGACCTACTAAGCGTGGTGTATGGCAACAAACCCTAAACCCTGTTGGCCCAGTGGCTTTGTCCCCAAAGAGGGCAGCTTTGCAAGCCATGATGGATGCCTGCAGTTCACAGAAAGACCGCAAAGCAAGAAGGTTTAGGGCTTACTTTTTTAAGGCTTAGGGTTTAGGGTTTACTGTTTTGCAAGTCTCTCCTTTTCCAAGCTGATCCATCGGCTTTAGGGTTATAGGGTTCAAGGGTTTAGGGTTTGGCAGGGGTTAGGGTCTAGGATACCCAGTAACCTAAGAATAAAAAGGCCTCTCTTTTTGGTATTGGGTAACTTTATAAGGAACCTAGGACTACAAAAAAGGAATAAGGGTACTACTGGGCATCCTAGGGGGTAAGGGTTTAGGGTGTAGGGTTGAGGGTTTAGGGTTGAGGGTTAGGATTTAGGGTTTAAGCATCTGTAAGGCGTCGAAAACCCTTGATCAACCCGAGTTACACCCGTAAGCCCTACACCCTAAACCCTACATCCGAACTTAACTGCATTCTATAATGCAGGGGCCTTAAGAAGTAAAATAGGGCTCCTGTTGCAAGGGTAGGATTTTATACGGGTTATAGGTTTTATGTATTCAATTCTAGTATTTTTGCCAGAATATAGAGAACACTGAAAGCATACTATCACCATTGTAAGGACCCCCCCAGTTTAAGGTACCCTTCTTTGATTTATGTGTCTATTTGGAAACGTAGAGCCGGGCTCTACATTGCAAGTCAAAACGAAGAACCCTGAAACGTGTAAGCTATAAGTTAAGTTGGATCATGTACGAAAACCCTAAACCCTAAACCCTCAAACCTAAACCCTAAACCTTGTCAGCCCGAAGAACCACAACTGCCAAAGTGGCCGACCAAGAACGCCGCGAATCCCGTAGCCTCCCACCACGTTGAGAACAAAATGCACAACACTGTGGACTAAACCCCTAAAGTACCCTAAACCCTAAACCCTAAACCCTTAGGCCCTAGGCCCTAAACCCTAAGCCCGCTTGAGACCCTATAGTAAACTCCATAAAGTTGGAAACCGGATTAAGGCCAAATAGTGCTGGGATTCCCTATACAATACTCTTAGGGATCGAGGCTATGGGGTTTCCAACTTTTTGGCTTCTACTGTAAACCCAAAACAAAAGACAGTGACAAAAAAGGAATCAGCACGAAGCATCAAAGGGCCTCCGAGAACCAGCACTCGAAGGATTTCGGAAATCCTGCGCTGCAGCCCCAGGAGCTCATGTAGGGTTTAAAATTTAGGGGTTAGGGGTTAAGGCTTAGGGTTTAGGGTTTAGGGTTTGGAGACTTGTAGGGTGTAGTGATGCGTAGTGTGTGAGATCTTAGGGGTTTTGCTCGGTCTATGTCTTCCCCTAGGGATCAAAATAGCCCAAAAGCCTTATTGAGTATGGTCTTTGGGCCCAAAAGCCTTAATATATGAGTCCTTAGATCCCTAGGGTTCTTTTAAGGTTTATGATTGAAATGATCAGGTTGATCCGGGTCTGGAGTTTGAGTTGACGGGTTCGGTAGGGTTGGGGAAGCTTCCTAGGGCTTTACAGGGGACATAGAAGTGCTAGTGAGCTATTGTTACTTCCCAATTAGTGTTTAGGGTTTAATTAGGGAGTCTTATGAGCAAAAGCAAATCGTTCACGATGCCACTACCACTTCGAGTGATGACTCTACTAGCTTGTGGAGTATGGCCGTGTTACAATCTATCACAGGAAGTGCACGAGGCATTTAGAGGGGGCAGGCTGGAGGGCATTCGCGAAATCTCAGCATGCTTCGGTTGGAAAAAGCTACTTTGCCTGTTACATACAAACAGAACGAAATGGAATCGTGGAGGACTCCTGTTGAGTTAAAACACTTCGAGGTTAAATACGACAAGCAGCGTGCATCAATCAAGGATCTCAGAAGAAGCGACACGAGCATTCCGGGGCATCTAGCTTAAAGCTGAGAAGTTTTCCAAACCCTAGGCCCTAAACCCTAAACCCCAAATGCCCTAAAACCTTTTCGACTGTAGACTTACACATGTTCAACTCTTCGAAAGCTCCTTTGAAATTTACAAGCGGCGTGGAGCTCGAGGCTTCCAAGGGACCAAGAACCCGCTACAATCAAACATAATATATCATGATATATTATACATATATATATATAACATATTACAATGTAGCATAATTTCCCTGCGAGTTTAGGGTTTAGGGCCTCTCGCTCCATGTGTCGCCAGTCCTTCCCTCTGGGCGAATCGCGGAAGCACGAATTCATGCGGCTTGTGGAGTTCGAAGAAGTTGCTGAACCTAGGACAGAGCGCAAAGACACTCCAAAAGGTCTTCCCGAACCCCCCAGAGCACCCAATACCCCGTAATTAAGGACTATACTACGTAATACCTTAAATTGTCGAAGCCCCAATATAATGGTTTAAGGTATATTGCGTAATTGAGGGGTATTGGGATCGCTGGGCCTGCTCTCCATAACTTGAACTCGGACCCGAGCCCTCTACCTATCATGGGGAACTAAAGGTTAACCTGTTGGTTACACAGGGAGTACATGGGAGTTTCCGAAAATAGGGGACCCTAGTGCAGTACCCTAAATAGTAGGATCCTTACTATGAGGACCCCAAAATAGGGTACCCAAAATTCGGAAACCCCCACATGGGCACTATACTCCCCCAAAAAGGCGACAGGGTTACCTACTCTGCTACTAGGTCTAGGCGCAAGCCCCGGAAGGATCCTTCTCCAGCAAAGCCCCCAAATGAAGTTCGAAACATCACAACACCCGATTCCATACCATGACTTGATAAGTCCATGCCCACTGAAGCCCCAAAGCATATACATGTAAATTCCGCATGAAATGTGACAACGCCTGCTACGGGAGGCCTTCCCTAAATCCTAAGCCCCAATGAAACCCTAATCCTCTCAATCCCGTAATTAAACCCTGACCCCCTTACCCTAGAATCCTTGACCACGAAATCCTACGCCCCAAAGCTTAAGCCCCTAAACTCCTAATACACCCTTTATAGACCCTAAACCCTAAAACCCCTACACCCTTGACCACAAAACCCTACACCCGAAACCCTCGACCCCTACACCATAAACCCCTAAACCCTAAACCCCTAACCCCTAAACCCTAAAACCCTAAACCCTAAACCCCGAACTAAGGAGACTTTCGACATAAATCCCTAAAACCATAAACCCCTAAACCCACAAAACCAACAACTAAAGCTCTCCTGGGATCCGAGGATCTCCGCAAAGTCGGCACTTTTCCGATGTCCGTAGAAAGGCAGCACACGCGGCAGCACGCGTGGCTCCTGAGAAATGAAGCAGACATATGTATATGCATGTACATGCATGTATATGTCTATATGTGTGTATGCGTATGTGTATGTGTATGAGACTGCGTGCGTGTATATAGCACATACATTTCTGGGTTCGTATATATATATATATATATATATATATATATATATATATTATATACACATACATACATACATACATACATAAAACCCGTATACCTGCGTGTAACTATATACATATAAATGTAATATGTACATAGATGCATTTGTGTGTACACAGACATATAAGTACGCAAGGCTGTATGTATGTATGTATGCATGTATGTATGTAAATTCTCCTCTATTGGACGTATAGTTTCAAGCTTTTGGCTTGTGTTTGGTGCGAATCTTTTCGCCGACGCTGCTAACCATGTTTTGAGAATAACTGGCTGAGGCCGAGTTTATACACGTACGCGCCTTTAACGCAACAAAAATGCGCTGCAACTTCGTCTCCTCTTCAACTGCCGCCATAGTGACTGCAGAATCTTCGACGCCCATCGGAGGGCAAGGCTGGGGGTGCTTGACTTGAGCACAAAATCACCCGAACAAGGTGCTTCATGTGATTTGAAACCATCGAGAAGGCTGAAACTTGCCTGTGGTACAGCGTGGGAGCAGTGTTCGGTGGCCAAGATGCCCGACGTTAGCTGAAACTTTGCAGCGTTTCCGTTGAACTGAGAGCTTTCGGGCTAATGTGAACGGCTTGGGATTGACGCAGATTGGATCAGTGTGACTTCAACGCAACACATGCACAGGATGTCGTGCACTCTAGCATCGTGTGCAACAGCAAGTGCTGTGCTGTGCTTTGGTAGTAATGAGACACGCAGATAAAATACAAGGATCATGGTCGCTAATATAGGGGCCTTAATAATGTAATGAGGGTTTGGGGGCTCAATATAATATAGTTATAATAAAGAACCACCACAACGTTTTAGGTATGTACTTATTAATTAAGGGCCCCATATAACAGGGGTCATGGTCACTAACTTGGGCATCTCCAGGTTTTGGGTAAATCCCTGCGGGATCCCGCGTTCACAAAATTGGAGATCACACCCTCGAAGCCTGGATTTGCTCTTTTTTATGTTTATCACGGGGTTTAGAGGTTTTAGTTTAGGGTCTTATGGGTTTTTAGCTTCAGGCTTGAGGTGTATAGAGTTTGGGGTTCAGGCTGTTTATTTTGGGGTTTAAGGTTTGGTGAGTTTAGGGTTTGCAAGTCAAAATTTAGCGCCTTTAACGGCTTCCTATACGAACCACTACTGCACTGGTACCTATTCTACAGTGATTCTACAGGTCTCCAGGGCCATACAGTCATACAGCCTGCAACATGTTTTTGCAAATGTTTCGTCATCTCTCCTTGCGTAACACTGCTTTGCAGTCGGAGAAACGGCAAGGATGCAAAAACAAACTATAGCTCGCTTCCGGTCACGGACTGAAGTTCCGCGAAACACTGAAGTTCCGCCCCGTGGAAACCAAAAATGACAATCTGCTGCCGGCTACCTGCGTCTGTGTTTATCACGATCTTTCTTGGCCATGGACTTCTGCTTCTCTGCCGCACGCTTCTCTTGCTTTGACATGTCGAGCGGCGCCTGCACACTCAAGACGCTTTTCTTTTCAATGCCGGTCTTCTGGTTCTTCATGCTGTACCGACGTGCCACTACCTCACGCATTGCTTGCACGCCCTCCGGAAAGTTTGGGCAGTTCAAGGCTGGCGTAAGTTTCACAGCAGCTGCGCGGGTGAGTTATGATCTCCCATGAAATGCAGTAGGTGTTGCCGATCTGGTCGAGGATATCGCTTGGCAAGCTCTGCTGCAACTTCCATTTGGCCTCCTGCAGTCTCTTGCGGGGATTGGGATCATCATTCTTTTTCAGGGCGGCAGTTCCCTGCCAAATGAGAACTGATCTCGGGGCTGTGACTTGCCTTGCTGCGCCTCGGGCTCTGATAGGCTTCTCCGGCATGGCCAGTGCTTGAAACTTCCAAAAGTCACTCCGTACACGAACGAACTTGCCACCGTTTGTCGTAGAAAAAGACCTTTCCCACTTCGTGAGCCCACCATCCCCTTCTCTTTGTAGGTACGGATCGTCTAAGGCAACGACGACAATGTGAATCAAATGAAGACAACCCATCTGTTCCAGGACTCGAGCAACAAATAGTCGCCTGTTGTTAATAGAGAACAGTTTCTCACGGAACCTGGTGCACAAGATGCTAGGGAAATCATCGAAAGCCTTGTCGCCGTTGATAATGTCGCGAACTGCATCGTCAATCAAGGTGCCAGACCGGAATTTGGAGGAGATGTGGTCGTGGGTGAAAAACACCTGAGAAGGTGCAAGATCGATCTCTTCTTGCCGGGGAAGCTGAGCTTCCTCCGCAGCATCCGCCTCCTGCTCCGGGCTTTCTTCGGGCTCCTCTTCTGAGGCGCTCTCCGTGGAAAGCTCCTCGACCTCCCAGGTGTCCTCTTCGCGTTCGGCCATCTGGTTAGGAAGATAGAGCTCGGAATATGCAGACTTCCTACACATGATTCCTGCATGTTTTAGAAGCCTACAGAGTTAGCTCATCGAGAGAGCTAGCGATGTCCATGTGTGTTTTGCGAAGAGCCTGGAAGAAGAGTGCTCCGGGAACGGACATTGCGCAGCCCTAACTCCTCAAATAGCATTGGCACAACCGTGTCGAAGCTGATAGTAACAGTACGGCTCTCCCGTCCCGGAATCGAAACTGCTGTATTCCAGAGCCCAACCTAGCATGCACAATTGAACTACGACTGAAAGATGCTGAGAAAGACTGCGATGACGCTCCTTCGGTTCTTGCCCTTACAGGGAACTCCAGAAAGTTGGAATATGGATTAATGGTAGGATCCCCTATAATTTACCTTAAAGGGGTTACGATAATGATATTCCAACTTTCTGGCTTCTACTGTATGGATCTTCAAAGCAGGGTCTTATAAGTCTAGGTACTCCGTGCTCCTCCGGTTTAGGCTGCAGGGCCTCCCCTGCATGTATTCCAACTCCAGCCCGTGAGGGCTCGATTCTACTAGCATATACAGCTTTGGGAGTTGGTGTGAGCCTAGGATTCAACCCGCCGCATGGAACTCTCGACTAACCCAACGGACCCAAAGACCCCAAACCCTCAACCCTAAACCCTAGAACATGAAAACACTGAAAACACCCAAAGCCCTGCAACGAGCCGGAAGGTTCCAAGACTATGGCACCGAGATGGGCGGCGATGGTGCGCAGAATCTGGCCTCGGGTTATTCGTGCGATAGGGCTTCAGGACTTTAGGGCTGTAGGGTGTCAGGGCTTTAAGTTTTTGGAAATTTAAGGCTTTCGGGTGTTGGGGCTTTGGAGTTTTAGGGCTTCAGGTTATGTAATTTGCGGTTTCAGGGTGCGGGTCCGGGTTTTAGGGCTTCAAAACTTCCAGGGCTTCGCGGTTTGGGATTCAGAGATTTGTGTTTGGCCATCGGGCTTGCTTGAAGGTTCCGTTCTGGCTCAGGTTTGTTTCACACTAGCAATCCACTGTTGCGGCACGGTGCTTTTTAGGTGCAGCGGTGCAGAGCTGCGGCTTGGGACCCTAAACCCTAAACCCTAAACCCTTGGGATGTGGAGTGCAAGCTTCGAGTTCAGGAGCTCAAGTTCTAAAGACTACACTGGATTCTGGCTTTGAGCCGAGGGTCGACGCTTCATTGGTCAAAAGACAACAAGAAACAACGCAACCATATCATGCCATTGTCGGTGAAACTCAGTGTAATGAGACCAGCGCATCGCTTATTGGCACTTTCGGTTGTTAAATGTTTTGACGATTATCAAAGTTGCACAAGTCGGCCGTACGACAACACTTGCTATTGGTATGATTGTGACGGCAATGAGTCTTCCGAGGGTTGTCAAACTACGAGAGGAACTGTCTAGATTGTAACGTTGATAGTCGTGGTTGGTGGTGCAGCAGTGATAGGAAAACGAGTGCTGGTGCTGCTGCTATGCCAGTGCTCGGGCTAGCAGAGGTAGTAGTAGTAGTAATAGTAGGAATAGTAGTAGTAGTAGTAGTAGTAGTAGTAGTAGTAGTAGTAGTAGTAGTAGTAGTAGTAGTAGTAGTAGTAGTAGTAGTAGTAGTAGTAGTAGTAGTAGTAGTAGTAGTAGTAGTAGTAGTAGTAGTAGTAGTAGTGTAGTAGTAGTAGTAGTAGTAGTAGTAGTAGTAGTAGTAGTAGTAGTAGTAGTAGTAGTAGTAGTAGTAGTAGTAGTAGTGGTAGTAGTAGTAGTAGTAGTAGTAGTAGTAGTAGTAGTAGTAGTAGTAGTAGTAGTAGTAGTAGTAGTAGTAGTAGTAGTAGTAGTAGTAGTATATAGTAGTAGTAGTAGTAGTAGTAGTAGTAGTAGTAGTAGTAGTAGTAGTAGTAGTGGTGGTAGTAGTAGTAGTAGTTGTTGATGTTGTTGATGTTGTTGTAGTGGTAGTCGAACCAGCACAGTGTCTAGTAGCATCTCCTTCAGATCTGTGGGTGCACGTACGTTGGAGTTCGCTGGCGGGAATGCTGTTATGACATACCTTGCTGTAGACCTTGCCACCCTAAACCCTAAACCCTAAAAGCCCGAAACCCTGAACGAATGCGGTTGCCTGCAGAGGCGGGCTGGCATGCGGCCTGTGACAAGCAGGGGCAGGATTGCACGTAGTTCGGCTTTCCTCTAGCTTCCTTTAAGGGCGGAGGCGATTCTGGTCATATGCGGATTAAGGATCAAAACCATGGGATCTACAGAAGAACAAGAAGCAGAAGGCAGGCTGTCCCGACCTGTCAGCTGCAAAAACTTTTGCTCATGATACCGGCGCAAAGTTGGGCTGAAGCAGCTGGCAACTGATGCTCAAAATACGGGCCACAGGTGTTGAAGCGGATGGCAGCTGATGCTCGTGATGTACATGCAACCGGAGGGAAGTTGAACATGCTGGCAGTCGATGCCTATCGTGTTCGCTTGTACCGGCCGGGCTTGACCCGGCATGGCAAAGGTCTGGCAAATCGATGCCCCACGATGATTGCTGTGCTGGCAGCATGTGCTGAAAAGGATGGCAGCTGATGCTGATGATGCCCGGTCACCCGCCGGGCTAAACTGAAACATCAGACGACTGATGCTCGTGATGTTCGCCGCACCGGGCGCATGTGTTGAAACGGATTCTGACATATGTAAACGGTGTAAGCGGCTGGCAGTGGATGCCTATCATGTTCGCTTGCTCGCGCCGAAGGGCCTGACGTGCAATGTGAACTTGTGCTCATGATGTCGGCGCGAACGGCTTCCAGGTTGAAACGTCAGACAACTGATGCTCATGATGCTCGCTGTACGGGCCACAGAGATTGAAATAGAGAGTGGCTGGCTGACAAAGGATTCTCATGGTATTGTCAGCGCTCTCAGTATGTTTGATACGTGTTATTGTTTCCGTTGCAACCACTACTCGTATTGTTACTATTCTTATCATTATTATTGTGCGTTCGCATTTACTTTCGGCTAAATGAGGTTGGAAAGGCTGGCAATTGATGCTCGTGATGCTGGTCGGATGCTGAGTTTCGAAGCCGCTAATTTGAGGTCCTGGAAGAGTAGGCGCTGAGGATGGTGGTGGAAGCTGTTGGCATCATCTTCTGAGAAGCCCTTAAGGTCCATGTATCCAAATCGTATATACTTTGGCTCCCAAATACCTAGGACTAAATAGGAACAATTTTAGGGCCAAAGTATGTACCATTTGGGTACATGGAGCGATACGCGCTTGCGCACTTGGCGCAGAGCGGCCGGTGGCCATAAAATGCTCTGACCCGGCCCCGTACGGGTTTAGGCTTTAGGGTGTAGGCTACTATGAGGTCGACAGTCTGCTATAATGGTCTTGTATATCTATATATTATTAGAGGGTTAAAATCTAGGATGAATGGGGGATAAGCAGTGAGGACATTCTGGGGGTTAAAGTTTATCGGATTTAGGGTCAGGCAGATTTGTAAGTTTACACGTACCCATTGGCCCCATAGTAGTTCCTTGTTGGGGATTCATATGTATAGTCCTATAAGGTAATCCCGAAACGGACCTACTATGGGGCCTATAAGTATGCAACTGTTCAGGGATGATCCGACTGTTCTCAGAGCGCCGGCCCACAGAACAAACCGGCGTGCAAGGTGTGTGTCTACAAGGGGTGTACGGTTCAGGATTTAGGGATGTTTAGGGTTTATACATTAGGTTTAGGGATGTTTTGGAGTTTCGGGATGTTTAGGGTCTTTGGGTTTGGGGTTTCTATACTGAACTTAGAACCCTCGGAAAAAGTATAGTTTCAGCTGTTTCTTAGGGATAATAATAACCCAAAATTAGAAATCATTTCTAAGTACCCCTAAGGATTTGGGGGTACGAAAAACTGTGTTCAGGAGTCTTCGGTCTTCGCTTCCATGTCTTAGTTCGTGTCAAACCTTAAACCCCTAACCCCTAAAACCCTAAACCCTCAACTAAGCCCTAAACCCAAATTTTCAGTTTCCCCAAAGGGTCCGAAGTACCTATATAGTAGAATGCAGGGTTTCTATATCAGGAATTAATGCTATGATTTAGGGAAGTATCCCCCATAACGGTGCCGAGGACCCTTTGGGTCAAGACACTGGGGCTCCCGGACCTGATACCTAGGGTATCTCGGGTTTAGGGTTTACGCCGGCTACGGTGTATAGGCTTCAGTTCCACATCGCCATGCTAGCCGGAACCCGAAACTTCCCAAACCACTCAACTGTCAGAGGGTTTAGGGTTAGGGTTTCGGATATACTGCAAGGCTGGGTTTTAGGGTTTAGGGACCAATGCCCGGACTCCAAGGCTTAAACGAAAGATCTTTCATTAACCGCAGCCACCTAACACATGCCGAAGAGCCCAACCCCTAAACCCCTAAACCCTAATCCCACCCCCGACCCAGCCTAATGTGTTGGCCAGACAGACCAGAAGCAGAGATCTGGGAGTGTTGGCTTTGGTTTGGGGTTTTGCATTTAAGGGTTCAAGGCTTCGGGTGGGGTTTGGCATTTAAGGGCTTACAGGGTTTCGGATTATGGGCCTTGGGTAAGTGAAGACGAGGTTGACCTAGGCAAGTTCCACCAGCCAACCTGTGTTCTCAGTTCTGCTGCAAACATTGGCTGTTGAGCGGCTGAAGCAAGGGGCACTCATTTGTTCCGAGCACTGTGCCGTGCAGACTCTCTACATACATCTATGTACTTAAGCCACCAAGCCCGACTGTGGGGGTACACACCGTGCATGGATCGATGCTTCTGCTGCAAAAAGGGTGTGTATGCTACTGCTACTAGTTTAGGGGATTTGGGGTTTAGGGTTTAGGGGGTAGTGCGGCCATTGCCGCTGCTTTCACCACGATCACTAGGTTTGTCACAGCATTTGCACTGTTGTGAGCCTAGTTTTGTCCAACGAGGCGTGGTCGTTGCAAGCTTCACCTGAACTGCCTGCGATTGATTGCCTGCAGGCAAAGCTTCATTGGTTCGGAATCCAACAGATCCTGGTTCCAGAAACCCCTAAAAAAGAAACAGGAGTTTTCTCTTTTTATCATCTACGCAGATGTCGCTTGCCATGTCCTCCCCCTGCACTCACCCGCTTGCCACCCCTCGAACTTGAGCCCATGATCCGGGAACACCTGTCCTTCCCCAGAACCCATCTCCCATGAACTGCTTAGGATATACCAGTTCAGCCCAGAGCAAAGAAATCAACGAACCACACAAAGCCAGCTGTGTGTGCTACCACGAGCGGCGCTTGTGGAGCAGGCCCTGACACAAGGCTGACATCAACAGTGCATATATACAGGTGTGTGTGTGTGTGTTTATATGTATATGTGTATCTGTATAATCAATTAGTAGCTATAGAGTCTTAGTCTACACATTTGTGCATACGAAGGTACACATACACACAACTATGGCTACATGTGTATCACATCAACGAAATGTTTGTACGGCACAAGGGTATGGTACACCTCTACACATATGTACGCATCTAAGTAGTCATCCTACCGTTGGTCACCATCCTGCCATACTCCGTGAATTCGTTCGTTTTGCTTGCATGCTTTCAGCTTGGACCCTATGCTCAACTAATGACAGTAAGCAAGCAATGCTACCTGGCCAGCTTCACTGATGTATACTTAGATATTTAAAGCGCTACTGCAGCGACAGCAACGACCGCAAGTAGAGTTTCATGTTCCCCCTTCACCCTAAACCCTAAGCCCCATAAATCCTGAAACCGTAGACCCTAAACTCCATGTCGCTTACTTGCTGGTTCACCTTGACTATATCTTGAACCAAGGGCTTAGCATCTGCAGCGTCAGGCTTGCTGTTCAGGTTGTGCCGCAACCCCACATATTCAAGCACATAATATTTAGGAACTCAAAGACAGGAGACTGTGCCTAGCACTTGGTGTCCCGCTACTTCGAACATCATGAGACTGGTACGGCAAAGACATGGCAAGTTTCTTAGGGTCCAGGTAGGATTTAGATTGAGAGGACTGCCATGGCGTTCAGGACCTCATGGCCGGAGATGGCCCCTAAACCCCTAACCCCTAAACCCTTCAACCCCTAAACCCTAAACCCTAAACCCCAAATCCCTAAACCCTAAAAGGACTCGGGCTTCAAGGTTCAGGGTTTCGGGCTCGCCATGGGCTTCGATTAGGCTTAGGGATCTAAGGACTCATATAGGATTCCTTTAACGGGATCCATAAGGGGTCACTTATGGGATCTATAGAGATCTAAGGACTCATATATTAAGGATTTTGAGCCCAAAGACCATACTAGATAAGGCTTTTGGGCTATTTTGATCCCTAGGGGAGGCTTCGCTTTATGCTGCGGGTTTGTCTGCATGGCTTAGGGTTTGCACGGCTTGTAGGGTTTAGGATTTAGGATTATGCCTCAAACCAAACATTTAGGCCAAGCTGCAAAGCTTGAACCCTCAGTAGGATCCATAATATGATTTAAGGTATATTCCTTAATTAAGGGGTTTTGGAGGCTCTGGGTGAGAGCTTGAGGAGATGCTCAAACACTACCTCCAGCTGATTCCGGCCGCTGCCAGATGGCATACATTGATTACGTTGCCATGCGCGAGTTTCGGAAACTAGGGGGCCGCGCACGGGATAATATGGAACCCTAAATCAAGATCCTAAACTAAGGAGCCCTAAGTGGGGCCGAGCCCGATTTAATGTCAGGGCACCCAACAACCATTCACACCCGAGCGGTCAGAGCCCACCACCTTGTTCATCCTAACGTGTAGTGAGCCTCATAGTCTCCCCTATAGTGGCCCTTATGGTAACCCTTTTTGAAGCCTCGTGTCAAGTACCCCTCGTTTTTGGACATTCCCGTATGGACATGATCCAGGCACGCCTCGCTGACCATAGGGCGCCGGCGCAACCCACATGGCAACTCCTGGTCGGGATAGGCCGCACACAAATACACAGTACATATGCATATACATGTATATAGCATACATACTTGCATATGCATAATTCGTATACATACATATATGTATATATATATACTTATATATATACACACACGTGTTTTGTATGTATGTATGTATGTATGTATGTATGCATGGATGTACGTATGGATGTATGTATGGAAAAACAAATAAAGCAGACAACTATTATTTACCTACCAATATATATATATATATATATATACACACATGTATACATATAATAACCTATGTATATGCATGTGTGTATATACCTATACATATACAAATTAGTTGCGTGCATACATACAACGTGTGTATACATGTACGGATGTATATATATATATACACATACATATACATATCCAGGTATAGGTATAGAGTGATCTACGTATGACTCCCACACGCACACCTACACCGACTACTGGGTCCCACCATGACATCGAGGTCTCTCATGGCACACATGCTATGATTTGGACAACCGAGCCATTCAGGAAGCATGCCTTGCAACGGTCGCGGGCCACGGCTGGCTCGGAAGCCACGGGGTGCTAGATGCTGCTTGTTGTACTAAGCTGTGGGTTACGAGTAAGCACAACTGTCGTCGCATATAGCCTTGGTTTATCTGCATTACTTGGGATATCGGTAGCGGCTTCTGCAAGAAAAGACTATGGACCTGTTAACGGGAGCTCTGTGTGATGATCATCTACATGTAGGTGCAATTGAAATCGTTGTTCGTCATTCTGCTTAACTGACACTGCCGCATCCGTGGCTGATCGCACTGGAGTCCATGTGCAGAGGTACATACAACCATCCATGTTTCTGCGAGCTGCGGCGGCGAAAGAGTTCAAGAGGATGAGGCGCAGACACGAAGGCCCCAGAACGATACCAGAATAGCAATGACAATAAGAACAATCGCTGTAATCAGCACAACAATACAGAAGCACGATGCTCTTTGTGCACATATATCTAGAGTCCCCGTATGCCACGAACTACTGCCCCGGCCACACGTGGTATCGTACGACGACACACAAAACAACGACGACTTACACTCCTCCTCCTACTAGATCTACTGCAGCTGGTACGACAGCAACCCACGAAGCTTTCAAACCCTTACATGAGACAAACTTTATCCAGCCAAAAGCTCTCAACGCGAAACTGCCTGTAACCAACATCCGAAAAGCCCACGACTGAAAAGTTCAGGGCTTAGGCTTTGAGTGTTCATTTAGGGTTTAGGGTGTCGAGTATCAGCCTGCCAGCTTCAGTTTCTGCTGCCCCACGCCGTCTTCTCAAGCCCAGCTCAGATTTCGATGGGCCGTACGAAGGTCCGCTTCTCGGCATATTTAGTTTTCCGGGTCTTGAGGTTTGAGAATCTCAGGCTACAAGGTGCTTGCAGCTCTGCGCAATTCTTCCGAGATCTTCTTGGGCTTGAAGTACTAGGTCCTAGGTTTAGTGACGTACATTGTGGGTCGCAGATGCCACGGACTGAGGTCAGTGATGCTGGCATGTCACAGATGGTCGTGGTTCTAATCACTTCCTAGCTTCCCAAGTTTGTGTTGTAATGCAGTTCCGTGGCCATCGCTCTGCATGGGGCGTAAGTGTGTGTTTTTATGACTGCTGGGGCGGTGCTTGTGTCGCTGCTGCTGCCGCCGCTGCTGCCGCCGCTGCTGCTGGTGCTGCTGTTTGCTTGTATGTTCATTGTTGCAGCTGCAATTGTCGTTGTCGGTCTGGATGTGGTCGTTGCTGCTGCTGCTGTTGTTGTTAACGAAGGTAGAAGTGAAGATCATGAAGACGAAAAGGATGAATACGAACACAAATATGAACACGAGGGCCGTTTATGAAAAATAACAAGGTGACGGTGTTGCTGGTGGTGATTACTCTGGTGATGATGGGGTTGATGATGATAATGGTGACGATGATGATGATGATGGTGAACATGACTGTGTATACTGCCACTAAGATCAGAGATGGAGTAGAACGGCTGATGATATAAATCCTGCATTTCCCATAGTAAGGAATATACCATAATTCCCATAGTCCAGGGTCATTAAGGTAATACAGGATTTATATCATCAACCGAAGTAGTAGAAGTAGTGGCATTATCAGACGTGAGGTAGAAGCAAATTTGGAAGGGGCTGAATGGAATCATATGAACGACCTCCCCCCAACTAGATAAAGGTCGACTCCTTCTTCAAGGCGCTTTGGGCTGTCTGGGAGAAGCTGAGGCCCCCCACGGTGTTTGGGCTTTCTTCGAACCAGACTGGGCAGGTGTCATCGAAGTCGTGGACGTTGAAGAATCCCAGGCCTTCCCAGCTTCGGCCCGAGCTCAAAAGTTTGCATTGGGGGAATTTAGGGTTTAGGATTATATAGGTTGAGAAAGGGGGGGCTTAGGGCTATATAGCTTGTAAAAAATTAACGGTCTAGGGCTATATAGTTTGCATAATATGGGATTTTAAGTTTGGAGGAAGATAGATGCAGATGGACCGACGCAGTGCCTTTGGGGTTGTTAGGGCTGGTTCATAGAGTGAGGCTGGCAGAAATGATGGTAAGGAAGCTAGATGATAACATCAGCAGCTTCTGCAAACTTGTGAGGCTCCGACACCAAGAGCGGTTCTCCGGGTACTCCATGAACTGGTAGTCCGGCCTGTGTTAAACACCGGGCGCATTTAGTCAGGCTTGTCTAAGAGTTTAAGGGATTCTAGGGGTCAGGAATGTATAGAGTCCAAAGCTTCGCGGTTTCTGGATCATAAGCCCCGTAACCCTACACCCACGGTTTAGGGTTTAGGGTTTAGGGTCTACTGCAAGGTATACCTCGGCCGGGATTTGCCACTACGAAAAGCCGAATGGATGCCTTAATCCTCAAGCGCTGCACCCCTTGATAACCCTCGAAGGGAGCTCAAAGGTGCCATTTATGGTAGCCTTAACAGTGCCCTTGAAAGGAATCCTTACAGGTGCCCTTTAAGGGAACCCTTAAAGGGAACCCTTAAAGGAACCCTTCAAGGTAGCCTTAAAAGTGCCCTGAATGTTACCCTCTGGGGTACCCTAGGATTGGTGAATCACTCAAGACCCCGACTTTTTCAACAACAACAACAGCAGCAGCAGCAGCAGCAACAACAACAACAACAACAACAACAACAACAACAACAACAACAACAACAACAACAACAACAACAACAACAACAACAACAACAACAACAACAACAACAACAACAACAACAACACCAACACCAACACCAACACCAACACCAACAACACCTACACCAACACCAACACCACCAACACCAACACCACCAACACCACCACCAACACCAACACCACCACCACCAACACCAACACCAACACCAACACCAACACCAACACCAACACCAACACCAACACCAACACCAACACCAACACCAACAACAACAACAACAACAACAACAACAACAACAACAACAACAACAACAGTACCCTGGGAGCCCATGGGGCATTCGGTTTAGGGTTTAGGGTTTGGGGGTGTGGGGGTTTGGGGGGTTTAGGGTTCGGGGGTTGAGAGATCTCGACGGACCGTGAGGTGGTACTCGTACCTGTACTGATCTTGAAGGCAGGCCACTCTGGGTGCTTCAATAATCCCTAGGGGTCCACGTACCCAAGTGTCATAGACTCTCCAAAATAGTAACCAACATAACTACGATCATCTACTATCCCAAACCCGAGTCCCTAATTTTTGGGTCCTTTGGACCCTGAGGGAATTAGAACAATACGACTTCTGTGCAGACATGTCTTATGCAAGTTGCAAGAAGTGATCTCCTCGTTCAATCCTGTGCCCTAATTTGAACCCCCAAAACCCGGAACCCCGGAACCCCCAGACCCCAAACCCCTACACCCCTAGATCCGAAACCCCAACACTCTAAATCCAAAACCTCTAACCCTAGGGATAAACAAATGCCCAAAAGCCTTATGTAGTGTGGTCTTTGGGCCCAAAAGCCTTAATATATCAGCCCTTCGATCCCTAGGGTAAGCTTGCCTGGGATTCATGTCGGCAAAGCACTCTACCTGGCTCACAGCCCAAAGAGATGGAGCTTGGACTTGTTGGCTTCAGGTGTTGGGGTTCAGGGTTAAGGCTATAGGCAGTTATAGGGTTGAGGCTTCAGGGGCTTAAGTTGCTTAGAGGCTTAGGGTTTAGGGGGATGGGGCTTAAGGGTTCATGGTTCATAACATCTTCGAGGCCACAGCTCCTCTCAAAATCAACGCTACCAATGCTCAGCTCACGATACCTTGGCAGAGACTGAACCTACAGGGGAGCAACTGCTATTGGGCGGATTCCGGCTTTGCGACGACGGTGCATCTGATCTGGTTTCCGGTGTACGGCAGTCTGCCAATCCTCATCCAGAAACTCTAGACAAAGCTTCCGTGATTCAAGATACTTGAAACTCAAACCTAAGCTGGAGATTCACGAATTCTCAACCCTAGGCACTCGAAGTAGCTACAACAATGACTCCCTATGTCGAGTTTACGACTTCGGGCTTTGGTGTTTTGAGGCCGTTGTGGTGCTGCCGCCGCATGTTATCCAGTTTCTTTGTTTGTTTTTGTAGCATGTAAGGTTTAGAGATGACGATTGTTTGGCCTTGGGGTTTCGGAGTTTATGGAGGATTTAAAAGTTTAAGGCTTCAAAGGGTCAGACTTGTGGGGCTATATAGGGCTTTGGAGGGAAGCGAATGTCCCCAACCTACGACGAAGCACTAACCTTTAGAAATCCTTACATTACTAAACCCAAAACCCTCAAAACCACGAAGCAAAACCCTCAACCCTAAAATCCTTACCAAACCCTAAACCCTGAACTCCAAAACCCTATCCTCGGGACCTGTGTGAGGATCCCGAGATCCTTCGCCATTTGCCAGGCTGAGTTTGTGGAGTTCCAGCCCGCATCGTCCATCAGGACCCAATTCCTGCTCTGTAGGCTTAGGGTACTTTTAAAGAGTACTATAAGGGTACTCTAGGGATGATGGCTTCAGGGTAAAGGTTTGGGGGTTGGGGATGCCTTTAACCTAGCATTCTCTAACAGTCTATGCTTATGCAGTAAAAACTTAGCCGATCAAAAGCTTCCTCTGCAGGTACTTTAACGCCTATGTATGTACTATATACAGGCACATGGATACCTTGGAACTAGAACGTTGCTCTTATGATCCGGTTGCTCCAGTTTCTTCAGCTTACTAAATATGATGCAGTTCCACTTCAGGGCCCTGGTTACTGCCGTCAAAGTACCTGAAAGGTAACCAGAATAGGGCCCCTTTTGGAATCCAACTGTATATACTAGAGGACGTCAACCAAAACAGCTCTACCTTCAAGGAAGCCATAGCTCATGCTTACCCATAGGCCCCGCAGTAGTTCCTTTTTGGGAGTGCCTTACAGGATTCTAAATATGAGCCCCGAAAAGGAACTGTGGTGCCTCTATGGGTAGCCCCCAAAAGCTTCAAGCAAACACTGCCGAAGACACCAACCAGCCCTAAACCCCAAACCCCTAAACCCTAAACCCCTAAACCCCTTAACCCTAAACCCCTAAACCCTGAATCCCTAAACCCCTAAAACCCTAAACCCTAAAGATCCGGCCTGCACGATGCAAGCTTCCGGAGGTTGTCTAAATCTGCCAGTGTGCCTTCGGTGCTGTGATCTCCATCAACCTCCGTGTCCGGGCTCTGGCTGGGCTTGGGGGGGGTTCTAGCTTGGGTACGGCCCCCAGACAGTAACAGTCTATAATAGGGCTACTATTAAGGGCCTTATATATCTATATATTACGAATAATATCCAACTGTTACTGAGTGGGGGCCGTACCCAAGTTCTAGCTTCTTTTGAGGAATCTTTCAACGATCACAAACTCAAAGCCCACCTCAAGGAATAAAACACCCGGCTTCATGCGAAGTTCAGATCTATAGGGCTTGCCTTAACCCCAAATGACCTACCTTTTTAAGGACCTATACAAAAATCATATTAGGGAACCCTAAAAGAGGTATGTTCCTCAGGGTCCAGGTGGGGCTTAGAATCTAGAGTCCGAGATTTCTAGATTTGTGCGATCCGGCAGCGTTATAGATATGCATGAGCCTCTTCCCCGCAAATCTTTCATTCACCCCAAGCGTATGCCCCGAATCCTTCATGGTAAAACTCCCCACAGGGTCCACATATACTACCATTAAGTATGGAGTTAGATCTCCAAACCCATAATAGGGGGCGGTGTTTTGCGACCTAATTCCATAATGGTAGTATATGTGGACCCTTAGGGCTCTACAGATGCTCAAAAAAGCCCCCATCATCATGCCGCAAGCAAAGGCCCACGCGCTGATGACGTCACAGCGCACATCTGGCCTCTGGAGATTGTGCTAGGCGGTATGCGGTTTAGGGCTTAGGGCCTGGGGTTTAGCGTTTTATGGAGCTTAGGCAGTTTACTATATCGACTCAGGTTTCTGTGTTCCTTTTGTCGGCAGGCCCTTTTCCAAATGTGCAGGTGACCTCCAAAAAGCCAACCTAATGTTTGGGGCTCCTTATTAAAATCTAGTATACTGGGCCCCAAAACCCTATTCTAATTATTACGGCCCCTAAATTGACGACTTTGCTCTGCAAGCAAACGTCCTCAGCCAAGATTCGCAAAACCAGCACTTCCTGTACAAACTCCAACGGCTTAAGCTGCAGCTTTGGCGGCGGTTGTAGAGAAGAAACGCCGAAGCCAGCCCCCATATCCCAAACCCTAAACAACACCCAAAAACCCTAAACCCTAAACCCTAGAGCCTAAACCCTATCAACCCGAAACCCGTAAACCCTAAACCCCGTCAAACATAAACCCCTAACCCCAAACCCTATCAACCCGAAACCCTGAAACCCTAAACCCTGAAACCCCAAACCCTAATATCCTAAAGCCCTAAACCCTTAAACCCTAAACTCTAAAACCCCAAACCCCAAAACCCCCAAACCCTGAACCCCAAACCCAAAAGAGAAGACTCCTACCGGCCCGGCCTCTGCTCGGCGAAGGTCTTGACCGTCTCAGCCGACGGCCCGCTGATGTATTCGAAGCGGTCGGGGAACAGCTCCTGTGGAAAGACTGGGGGTTGTTAAGTAGGGGCAACTATCTAACTGGCCCAAAACCCAAGGAAATACAAGTTGACACTTTTAGAATCGACTACCTTATAAGAACCCCAAAAGTTGAAGAGTTGAGTGTACAGCCAATAAGCTATAAACCTGAAAAAGGACCCCCCCCAACAAAAAAAGTCCAAAGCACCTTTCTAGCACTGTAGAGCTCCTCTACTTGGAGGTTTAGGGGTAGTTATGAGTAGGGTTATAAGTCCCTCAATATGGGTTATAAGTATAGTTACCCTACTTATAACCCTGCATATAACTACCCATGATCCTCTAAGTATCCGGAATTACTATGCTGATTTGGGGTAGTAACCCCCTGTGACAGTGGGATCTTGGCTTGGGCATCTCGTGTGGTTGACGTCGCCACTGAATAGTATGGGGCAGTGTTGCAACTCGGGAAAATATAATCATACAGTACGTATAGTTTTGTATGGTAGAGTTCAAAATAATGCAACATAATGAACTGTAACCTTGCGGTATTCCGACGCCCTGTCGCTAATTGGAGCAGTTCAGGTTGTCTGGGTGAGGTCTGAAACATGGAATTCCTGGCACTTGCGCAGCTGTAGGAGTGCGCGTGACTCAGAGATCCCAATACCCCTTAATTAAGGAATATACCTGAATCTATAGGGGCCTTAATATTATGGTTTCAGGTATATTCCTTGATTAAGGGGTATTGGGATCTCTGGGGAGATACACGCATAGCCACCGCACAAGTATGTATACTGGCACATAATACCTTTGGCTTCGTGTTACATCGCATACCTACTCATTAACTCACATATGCGGCCGTCCATATACTTCAGCAAACCCTCGATCTGCAAGTGTTATCTAGCGCACAGCTGTAGACCAAGACTCATAGAGGCTCCTTCATGAAACCCTAAACCCCAAACCCCTAAACCCTCGGCTCTTTCATCAGCTTCGCGTTTCCCCGCGTGTATGGGAACTGGCCAATGTCGAAGGAATAGACCTTGGCCTTGACATGCAGATTTTTACGGATTTAGGGTTTGGGGGGTTCAGACTTAGGGTTTTAGAGATACAAGAACGAATATCTAGATGGTCTATAATTTCTGGTTTAAGGAAAATCCAAGAACCTCAAACCTTCAATCCCTGCATAAAAAGAAGAATAGGGTGTTGGGGCCCCTTATACTAAAAATATAACAGGGACCCCCCCCCCCAAAAAAAAAAAAAAAGAAAACACACAGTATTAGTAAATCCCAAGGAGTCGAAACCCTATTGTTTGTTCTCTTAACCTGGTGTGATCTTGATGTGCACTCCAGGTGGCGAGCCAACTTCCACAGGGCTTTGGGAGCTTCATATATGGACCTACGGTTACTTGTCGGGTATCATGGGGAACTAAAGGTTAACCTTTTTGGTTATATAGGGATTATGTAGGGACTATACTAGCCAAAAGATAAAATGTTACCTACTCTACTACTAGGTGGAGCACTCTACTATACAGGCTGGAGGGTTCTTCAGAAGCCCCCTGCGCATGCAAAGCATCAAATGACGAAGTAACAACGAACTCCCTGACTTTCAGGCATCTTACGAGTTGATCGCAGTCCCAAACCGCCCCATTTCGGGTCCCTGCCATGGTTTCCGGACAGCACAAACGAGGATAAGATCGTTTTCTTTGACAAAACATACAGTTCGGCAACATCCTGCAAGCCCCAACCCAAATCCTAACGGTACCCTAAACCCTATAAACCCTAAAGCCTACCCCAAATCCTGAACCCTGTATAAGCCCCAAATCCCAAACCCTGCTCCCCAGTTGGGCCTGTGGGTTCGCATTGAGATAGATCGCCGTTGAATGTCCGGCGTTGAAGCCTACGATGGCTGCGCACGTAGTGGGTTTAGGGTTTTAAGTTCAACAGGATGAAAAAGCCTGGGGCTAGGGATGTCAAAGTTTTGGCATGAGGGCTGGGGCTTTGTGGCTTGGGGGCACTAATGTTTGGTTCAATGTGCGCTCTGTCTTTCCGGATGTACTATCGAACGTCGCTCTGTGTCAAAGAGTCTGAGTTGAGTAAGACTCAGTCGTCTCCTGAAAAAACCTTACGAGCCCAAGAACCCTGTACAACCCTCTCAAGCCAGTGTATTCGCTCATAAAGCGCGCTTGCATGGACCTTGACTACACAAGAATGGAAACCAAAATTAAAAATACATATTAATAAGAATGAGAATCTCGTCTATTTGTCTTCCTATCGTTCGATCGATCTATCTCTCTGTCTTCTTATCTCTCTCTCTCTCTCTCGCTCTCTCTCTCACTCTCTCGCTTTGTATATACATATATACATGTATATATGCATATCTGTGTGTGTCCCGTGTTTCCGCGCGCATGCACGCACACACCCAACCACTGAATCCGAGCTCCCGGCCGACTTCGCATATGTTCTGCACAGTCGGCCCTCGAGCAACATTGAAGTACCTCGACAGTAGAAGCCAGAAAGTTGGAATATCATTATCCTAACCCCTTTAAAGTAAATTATAGGGGATCCTACCATTAATCAATCCATATTCCAACTTTCTGGGGTTCCCTTTAGAGGTTTCAGGGTTTGGATGGGACGCTTCAGGGTTTAGGGTTGAGGTGTTTCAGGGTTTAGATGGCAGTTTAGGCTTTGGAGCGGATCCGCAAGCCGGGTTCAGGGTTTTTCAGATGCTATCAGGACTATAAGGATTTCTTTCGGGCTTTGGAAGGTCAGAGTTCCAAGCTGGGGGTTCGGGATGTTTTAGGGTTTATTGGGCAGGTGCAGGTGTACAGCGCTCAGCCTGGCTCGTCAAAACCGCAACCCCGGACAACCCCAAGCCCCAAAACCGTAGACCCTATTGCCTTGAACCCCAAAATTTCCTGAACCCCACAGCATGGAAGCATTCCAAACCCCTACCCCGAACCCTGTTCGCCCTACCGAAAACCGTATATGAATGCCAATGCCTAAACACACAACACACCCCAAAACCGTAAGCCCGCAACCTTGCAATCTGAAGTCCCATAAGCCCAAAGTCCAACAGTCCTCAAAACACGGTTGATACTGAGACGATCGTCTGGATTTGGTTTGAGGGTGAAGGGTTGTGGACTCTGACAGGCTTCGCAGTGTAGGGTTTGGGGTTTTTTCGGGTTCAAATTTGGGGTTTAGGGAAACTCTGACATGTAACCTAAACCCTAAACCCAATTCGCTAAACCTTGTTTTGACTCTGCATACATCCCGCCAAGGCCCGGGCATGCTAAACGCCTTCTCGGAGGAGGCGATCGTGCCTGGCCGAGATCTGCACGAGAGGACAGGCGACTTTGAGTTCCTAATCCCTAGAGCTAACGGTTTAGGGTTTAGGGTTTAGAGTTTAGGGTTTGAGGTTTAGGGTTTCAGGTTTAGGGTTTAGAGTTTAGGTTTGAGGTTTAGGGTTTCAGGTTTAGAGTTTAGAGTTTAGGGTTTGAGGTTTAGGGTTTCAGGTTTAGGGTTTCAGGTTTAGGGTTTAGGGTGCAAGTCCAAAGTACCTATATGGTCGAATGTAGGGCTTCTATACTAGGAGTTACTATTCTGATTTAGGGATAACAGTACCTAGGATTTTTTGGGACCTAGAGCTTCACCGGGCTTAACTTACTTGTCGGGTATCATGGGGAACTAAAGGTTTGCCTTTTTGGTTATTTAGGGACTACCCAAAAAAGGTTAAAGGTTACCTACTCTACTACTAGGTTACAAAGGTATATGTACCATGTTTTGGGGGGTCAAATCCCCTTTTTTAAGGTACTCTGGTTACCCTCACTCTAGGTAGAAGCGCCAGGTGCAGACACCCATTGGAACCATCTGAAGACATGCAATCCTACCGTTCTCTGCGACGGCTTTGGGCTTGGGTTGGAGCAGGCTTGACCTCCGCTGGGGATGCCTTGTTAGGGCTCCTTTTCGCTTCGACCTACCTTTTCAGGGTGACTGGAGGCGAGAAAAGCGATATCTGGACCTTAATTGACGCCATAATCGACATAGAGGTCGGCCAGGCATGACCCGAAGACAACTTCTCAAAGCCTACCGAGAACATCTGAGGATCATAGTTCTTACAAGGCAGAATATGGCTTTGTGTTATGATTCCAGCATATTCAAGCTATATTCCTTCAGAATACGTAGCCAGGGCTTTCTGCGAGGAGCCCTCGTTTGCGAAATGCCGGGCCCTAGTCGTTCTGAAAAATCTCAAACCCTGAACCCTACTTGGAGGTTCATGGGTAGTTATATGTAAGGTCATAAGTAGGGTAGCTATACTTATAACTCATGTTAGGGGACTTATAACCCTATACTTATATCTACCCCTGAACCTCCAAGTGCTGATGGTTCCGGGGCTGCGCAGATCTGAAATGTCGGCCTTCTGTGTAGACGAAGTAGCGGCGGGCCTGGCACAGGCCAAGGCTGTGGGCGTGGGAGACAGGCTGTTCTTCTCCGATGATCCGTCTAGCACGTAGAAAAGATTTCGATTACGGGTCAAGGATCCTCGCAAGTTCATGGAAAGCGGGCCCGGGGCCGGTGGTGTGGGATTCTGGAAGCCTATCCTGTGGAGATGCGACAGGCCTTGGAATGTGACCCATTTCGCACCTCAAGTCTCCAAGATGATACACAACTTAGGGGCTGAATATCCTATCCCAAAAACGGTTAGCCTCTTTAAGATATGCTAGGAGTATATGGGGAGTTGTCAAAATTAGGGTCCCTCTTTGGGTCCTGAATATAATACGGCACCGAATATTTAGGGTACCCCAAAAGGGACCATAATTTTGACAACTACCCATATATGCCCCAGAAGGCTACAGGTTACCTACTCAGCCGCTGAGACAAGCCAGCACATAGATCATTAGACATGCCTGTGTGCACATGTGTTTCCATCGCACATCATGACGATCGATTTGTCCTGGGTTGACAGAAGTGTTCCTGTCTGTTCATCATGAGCTTACTACAAAATGTCAGGTCTCCTGCTACAACTGTGTGTTGCGACTGAAATGTTTTCGCGCCCAGTTCACACTCGACACCGTCGAAAGTAAGACCCTTTCTATACCCTCCTTTCAACCATAATAAAAACATCACTTTTAATATTCTCCTGGGTTTTAAATGAACAAAAATCAAAGATAATTCAAAAGCAGACTATAAGTTTCGCACCCACGATGCATGCCAAACTCGAAACCCTGGGCCCCACGGCCAAGACACTGATCCACAAAATGTCCCGGTCGACCCCGAACAAGGGGGGTCGGCAGGACTGGTGTTACATATGAGCCAGACCTCATATCAGAGTTGAGGACTGAGGATTCTGAGTTTCAAAGCTTAGCGCTGAAACAAACAGGGAGACTAGGGTCACAGGCTCCAGCCAAAAACAAATCATTGGGAGAGGTGCCCCATACAAAGGGACCTGATGCCTCCTGGCCTACAGTGGCCTTATTTGACTAGAACATACTAGAACAAGATGTGCTTGGAGATCCTTTATTTAGGTCTTCGCGATTTGCATCCCAGACGGGGAGCCGCCTAAAACCCACAGTCCTACACCCAAATTCTGCTAGCTCGAGGGTTTATGGTCTAGGCTTAGGGTTTAGGGAAGTTTCGGTTCAGGGTTCAGCAGAAATCCCCAGATCAGCCAGACCAAAAGGCTCCCGATTTCACGCCGACTGGCATACGAAAGGCCTCTCTGTCGAAGTACAGCGCTAGGGACTTGGCGTTCTCTTCGGATGACACCTGCTACGGTAAAAGCTGTCCCAAGGTCGGGTGTTGTGGGGTCCTCGTGACGCAAGCACGTCTCGCTAAACCCTCCCGAAACCGCTAACCTCACCCCGAAATCCTAAACCCCTATAGCTTGTAAATTGAAAACCTAAACCCTTAAGGCAGAACACTGCTCAGGCACCGCCGAGTGCTGAAGAGTTGGTCGGGACGCATGCGCTCGGCTGAAGCTGGCAGTCAA